TTTTAAAAAAAATAATAATACTTCCTTATTTACTAACCCCAAATCCCCTCAATTATGTTCCGATTAAATTTGATTTAGTTAAAGGAAAATCAGGAAGTTTGACAAGTGAAATTAATCAAATTTTAATTTGAGATAATTACGTCTTGATTAGAATTTATTTTAATTAAAGAAAAAATTTGAAAATATGAAATAATTAAGGCAAAAGTCAAATGAAAATTATTAATGATTTGATTTAGTATGATTATGGTTGATTCTATCATTAAGAGAAAAAACCTTAATTGGTGCGCATAAAAGGGGAGGGAGAGACCACAAAGGGGGGATTTTTTTGGGGGGGGGGGGGGGCGCAGAAAATTGAAAGGACGGGAAAAGAGAAGAAGAGAAGTGCTGTTGAAGTGCTGCAAAGGTGGGTGATGAATCAGTAATCTCAATCATCATGATCAATGTTTGGTGCGTGCAACGGTGGCATTAACATGCTAGACTTTGGTATTGACACTTCTAATCAATTCTTTCGTTGAATTGCTTGGAGAAGCTTTCTGGTTTCTCTATTACACTGTCGAATGGCTTGCTTATGATTTCTTTGTATTGATCATTTGTTGAATGGGGCTGGGGGGAATAGTTAAGATATATAATTAGGTGCATGGATATGAAACGTGTGTGTTCAGAGAATCCCTTCTTAAATTGTTCTTCCAACCATTATATTTTTTTAACAAAGGAAGTTCATGGTTGATACTAAATCTTTATGGATACTTGATACTTTGATGTAAGTGATACTAAATTACCACAATCATCAAGTGTTAAAAAAATTCTCTTTATGGATTATTTTAGATTATGCAATGAGTGATATAAAATCACCTTGGATCCATAAAAATATTAATGAGATACCTTCAATGATACTAAATCATCATAAGTATCAAATTTTGTTTTAAAATTTTCTTATTAAATTATTTTCTAGCAGACTATTTTTGAAAATTCCTTTAATTCCTTTAGGGTTGCCATAAGTGATACTAAATTAACATGTGCGCTTAGAGTGTCAACCAGCGAACTATGAGTAATATAAAATCACCACAAGTTATAATATTGGTTATTTTTTTCTTACCTAAAAGTACTTCCTTGGAACAAATTGTTATAAATATAATAATCTAACCCAAATATCAATATTTTTATAAAATAAATCAACTAAAAGAATTAAAAGGAGACCTAACTAATAATCTCTCGAATTAAGTGGACTTTGATTGCCATCACATGGTACATAAGCCCTAGGATTTGATCATAGGTTAAGTCCTCTCATGTAAATAAATAATTTGTTTTCATTTTTATTTTTTCATGTGATTAGAAAGGGTAGCTAAGATATTAATAAAAGGCCAATTGATTTATGCAATCAACTTAGGGTAACAGTCTTTATGAACAGATTCCGTGGGATGCCAAACACCTTCCCTGCACACAATCAACTCCCGAACACTTTTCATAGACCATCCTTTTTCATTATATAATTTTTTAAGGTTTCTTAAAAATTTAGTGGCAACTCCCATTTTTTTGCATTCATCAAACTTCCCTCATCGAGGAAAGGCATGATCCGGCCGTGACATTTATGACACTTGCAAGTCTTGTTTATTAAGAAAGATGATGAAAACACCTTTTACTAGGCACAAAGAGAGTGCTACTGATTTACTGGGACTCATACATACATATCTATGTGGACCACTAAGTATTACTACTAGAAGAGGTTATCTGTACTTTATTACCTTTATTGATGACTTCAATAGATATAGATATATCTACTTAATGAAACAAAAATCAAAATCTTTTGAAATGTTCTCAAGATTACTCTGTCCATGAGCAATGGGAATGCTATAATGCCGTGGTCTTATCATGGCTACTCAAGTTTGTGTCGAAAGAACTAGCTAGTGGGATGGCCTATGCTTAGAGTACACATCATGTTTGCATTGAACTTAATGAAAGATTCAATAAGGTAACTGGTTCTTAGATTTTTATCATACACTAAGAAATAAATTTGCATGTTCGAGGGTCTTTGACTAACTCTAACTATTACACAAAATTGAAGGAATTGTGGGAAGAGAAAAATGTGATAGTCACCATTCCTACCTATCAGTGTGTAATGTCGAAGATCTATTATGATATAATGCAACATCAATGACTTCTCCAATTCCTCATGGGTCTTAATGAGTCCTATAATCAAGCTAGAAGTCAAATTCTTCTTATGACTCCCCTCCCCGCCATGAATCAAGCATATAATATGACAACATAGGATGAGGCTCAATGTTCTATTGCTGGATTTACCAAATCCTCACCTATAGAAGGATGTGTTATGGCATTAGGTTGGGGACAAGGATGTGGTAGAGGTCGTGGATGCACAAATTTCTTGGTTGAGTGTGTCTATTGTCATAAACGTGGACACACTAAAAAAAATTGCTATGACACAAAAAATATATTAAAATAGAGATGAAAATTAGAGATAGCTTAATTATCATCTCTAATAAAGATGAAAATAGGGATAAATTATATTTTAGAAATAGATTTAATTTAAAAAATATTTTAAAATATAGAGACATATTTAGAGATGACTTATAGACATCTCTAAAACAAAGCGCTACAAAATCCATCTCAACTTCTATCTTATTCATTAAAAATTTAATTTTTAAAAATTAAAATGTTAGAGACAAGTTTAGAGATGAATAAATTTCATCCCTAAACTAACCATCTCTAAATCCATCTTTAATATTAATTTTACATTTTTTTTTGTAAATTTAGAGACTTAATTTGAGACATATTTTTTTATGAATTTAGAGGAAAAAATTTAACCATATCTAATTCCCTCTTTATATTTCTTTAAAATTTTATAATTTTAGTTTTATTAATTTAGAGATGAAATTAGAAACGACTGAAATAAATTTATTAGAGATAAAATTATTTTTGTTTCTCAATGTGTCTCTAATTCAAAGTAGTGACAAATTTAGAGACGGAATCATATTTTTAATTTTTTAATTTTTGGATTATGGATTTTTTTAATACATGTTTGAAATATATTAACATGAGAATTAAATTTAAAAGATGTAGAAAATATTTCATCATTGTTTAGTGAGCTTCCTATTCAATGCATACAACAAAAATTCTATGCTTGTGTTCAAAAACATTTATCTTCAGAATTTATAGAATGTTTGGAAATGTTTTGCATGTAATTTAAATATTTCTCTTCTTCTTTTCCTTTTTCTCTAAATTTAACCATTCTCATTTTTTAAAATTCATATTTAGTATTCATTAATTTATTCTATAACCATAATTGATTAAATATTTCGTCTCTTTTGTGTTGTTCATATTTTCTTTTAGTACTTTTTAATTTTAATAAATTTTTACTAAATAAGAAAATTGTCTTGAAAGAAGTCACTAACAATATTTTATAATAACACATTAAAATAAGAAAATAAAATAAAACTCCTAAACATCTATGAAATTGAATATTAAGAAGAATTAATAAAAATACATTTGAAATGACTATAAATAATATTTATATGACTAGAATTAATTATTTTAACGCAAAATATTATTTTTATGCTAATTATATATATAATGTTCATTTTTAGCATAGGAAGGAGAAAAGAAACAATTTTTTGAAATATATGAGACAATAATATGCTACATAAGAAAATTTAGGGAGATAATAATGTAAAACAACAATTGATGATTTCATATTTTTTTTTTCATTTACAAGATGTTCTACTTCGCTTGCAAAGTTGGTTGAGAGAGAAGAAAAATATTTTAGCTTTGACTTTGAGATTTCTTTCAACTAGGAAGAAGTTTTTCTTTCATTCTAAGGGGCATTTCCATCTTTTCGTTTATGAAATTAATATATGAAAAGGATTAGAGGACTGTAGAATAAAAATGAAATCATTTGGTCCGTATGTGTTATAAATTTTACATAATGGTCCTTGGATGCTATTTTCTCTATATATATTTCTAATGCTGAATTTCTCGTGGACTCTTTCCTTGTCCAAACTAGAGCCATCATTAACACTACAATTAAAGCCTTTGTTACATTTAAATATTTGATGTAATTTTGTTTTCTCCAATGGCTAAAAAAAAAAGATGTAATTTTGTTTATCTTTGTTCATCGTTTGCTGCACAGCTTCCACAGTCAATGAAATTCCCATTTACTCCAAATATATATGTATAGAAAGAGAGAGAGAGCATTCGAGACCAAGTAAGAGTATGTGATATGTACCTTTTTTTCTCTTTATATCCAAGTTAATCTAAACAGTTAACTCCACACTAATTTTTTTTGAAAAAATAAACTTGAAACAAATTATTTACACAAAAATATTTTATATCTTTTATTAATATATTTAAAAAGATATAACAATACCCTATTGAGATATATTAACAAAAAAATGATAATAAAATCTCTTTAAATTACATAAATAACATTTTAATCTCTTAAAATATTATAATTTTCTTGATGTCCTTAAGAACTTATTTGTCATTAAGAAATTAATATAAATAAAAAAAATTACCTTTAACTCAAACATCGATTTCTATTCACAAATTTTTGTTTAATATTTACAACTTTTGTAATGATCCAAAGTTTTAAGTAAAATAAAAAAAATTACAATTAAAGATTTTGATTTGTATTTTGGTAATTTTTGGAGTAGAAGCTACAGGAAGAAATGGTGGCTTAGTAATATCTGTTGTGAGTATTTAAATTCTGGTTGTGATATTTTAGGAATTCCATTAGGGTTATAAATTATGACAAGAATTTCTAAATATATGATTACTAACCATGGAACCAATAGTCAAAGGAAAATTGACTGCTCAATGGAAGCAATGTTGGCCAATCATCCTCAACATGCGAGCTCGACATTTGACACGGCCAGTGGACATTTTATTTCTTCTTCATCTCAGCGAAATTACCAAAATACCCTACAAAATAATAAAATAAGTAAAAAAAAATCCGAAGTTGCAAAACAACGCTGGCGCGCGCACCGACATAAATGAAGCTACATCTCTCTCTTTTTCACTTCTATCGGATTTCTCTAGAATCAGTGACTGAGCCCAATCTTGTTCAACCTTCTTCCTTTTCCTCTTCATTCTTCCATCACCGGTAACCATGGAGGTGCTGTTCGCCGCTGTGGTGGTTCCTTGAGGTCACAATTTTATCCTCCCTTCTCTGCCTTGCATCATCCTGTTCGTTCTCTGATTTATCTTCACCGTTTCTGTTTGCGTCACTGGCGGAACTTTGGGAGTTAGGTTGCAGGAACTAGTTCTCTCTCTCTCTCTCTCTCTCAAGACCTTCTTCTTGGATCAGTGCTGGAATCTTCCTTCTCTATCAGCCTCGTGTGGGTGCAGTAGCTCGATTCTTCTTCCTCTGCTGTGTTCTAGTTGCCAGAATCTTCTTCTCCCTTAATTCTACGAGCTGCTGATCCAACGTGATGCTAGGTTCGAATCTTTACCTCCCTAGTCACTTTGTGTGTGTATTTTTATGTGGCTGGGACTGTAATTTTTCCTTGTTATTTGTTCTGCCTGTGCATACCTAAGTTAAGAGGGATTCTAAATCAAATGAAGATAGTTTGGGTTGATTTTTTTTTCTTGAATTTAAGTTAATTCTTATTGTAGAATTTGATTGGCAAAATATGATAAATCCAATAGTTAAATGGGATATTGTTGGGATGATATTTAAAAAGGAGAATTTAGAATTAGAAGCTGTCAAGAATTGGGAGTTAATTGGGCAAAAAAAAAAAAAAAACTTGTGTATGATAATGATTGAAGGTTATTTGGATCATAATTCTCGAATTACAGAAATTAGTTTGTAAGTAATAATTGGGATTTTGGATGGCTTACTAAATGTTTGATGAGACAAGATTTTGAACTATTGGTACAAATAAGTGATGAAGGTTTCATTGATTATATTATAAAGTAAGTTAATTACCTTCTATGATGGAGCTTGAGAAAATCAAGAAGTTGGCTTAATGGTGTATAAGTTAGTATTTGAACATGTTAAGTGAAATTATGAAATTTGTTGGATTAGTCTGGACCTTGAAGCACATGGGAACAAGAAAGAAATTTGTTATACTTGATAATATTTATGATATTGAATTAAAGGTGTTATAAGATCAGTTGTGACTATGTAAGATAAGAAATTGTACTATTTTGAATAAAGTATACTTTGTGAAGAATTATTAAAGAGCCTTAATAATAAATCACTTACTAGTTACTAAGGTAAGGAGGTAGGATTGAGATGAATATATTATTGAAGATGGGAGGAAGGAATAAGAAAGAATATGATTTTAAATTTGGTTGGTGGGTTAAGGATAAATAAGGGTTGACAGGACTTTGATATATTCTAGATTTTGTATTGGGTTCAAGAAGGTCAGTTAGAGATATGTGAATTAGAGCTTTTATTAAAGAAAGTTATTTGTTCTTTTGGGTTAGATAATAGAGTAGCTAAAGGAAAATTGAAAGGTGTTTAAAAAGAGTACATTATTATTGTGGGAGCTTATCAGGTAAGGGATAGCGTCTTAACTAATTTTTTCAATCAAAATTTCCTTTACTAAAATATTACATTTTTCTGCAAATCATTTTAATAGCAATAATGCGATTATTGGATATTTGTTGATTAAAATTACTTTATTTTGAGAAATTAACTTTACCAGATTTGAAATGTTATTTGATAAATTAAAACAACTTTAGACTTTAGTTGAGATTTTTATTCTATCAAATATCAGATTGATAGAGAGAATGACTCATGTGAGTTTGATTTTGAAAATAAAAATTTCATTCATTATTAATGATTTTTTTGCATATTTGAAATTGGATTTGAAAGTGACTTATTACAGAACACTGATTGTTAACGGCAGTTCCATTAGCCCTTGGTTCGCCATGGTTAATGACTAGCTAATTTGATTTTTGTGAGCTTTTTTCTCACGTTTTTTATTCGTAGGTCTTGTACTCGCGTTTGTTTTTGTGGTCTCAAGTCACATTTGGTTAGTATTATCTTTGTGGACTATGTGTCCACGTTTGTTTCATAGTTTCGACTGTGTTTGGTTACTTACTTTTATGGATTATGTATCCACGTTTGTTTTTGTGGCATAAGCCATGTTTGGTTATTTACCCTCGTGAACTGTGTGTCCACGTTTGTTAATTGTTCTGATAAGTCTCTAAAAATATGATTTTTATTTATTTGGTGATTTCATACTCCATTAGTTTAAATTAGTAAATATTACTACACTTATCTATTTTATTTATTTGTTCTCTTGAGATCAAGTGATAAGGATATTTGATACTATAAATTTAATGGTTTTAAATTTTATTTAAGGTTATATAGAATCCTTTAAGTTCAAAGTTTATGAAATATTTTATATGAATTTTTTGTCTCTTTAATTTATATAATCATTGTCATTTGTTCATTTTATCCTTTTAAATTTTATTAACATTGGGACGTTATTCATTGAGAAGCATTTGTTTGGTCTTAGATAGCATAATTGATGCTGTACGTCCTACTGACCTTTGAAGGGTATATTGTTGGTTTGATTAGAAGATATTTTAAGGATACCTTTTGATGTAAACATTTAAGTATGGGTTATATTTAAATTTATGATTAATTGCCCCACATTAGCTATAGATAGGATTATGATTTGTAATCTATTTGCTTGTCTGTTGTGGAGGAGTACAACTCTGCATTTTCAATGTGAGCTATATATGGTTGTTGTAGCAACTTCGAAAAGTCCTATTTATAAGGGAGTTTTGCTAAACTTTCTACTGGTAGTTTAGGAATTTTTATGAAAATATTGCAATTATTTCTAATTGTATTTCAAATAAATTAAAATATTAAATTATAGATTTCTTAATCAAAGCTTAAAGGATGTATGTTTATGCATATATCCCGTGCCAGTCATCCCTTATTTTCAGGGCGCGCAACTTTTCTTCTTAAAATCGCAAGAATTTAATAGCAATTCACAAGTTTGTATTTGAAATCCTGATATTCGTCAAGAATTGCAAATATCACATTTAAATGTAATCTTACAAATTTTTGTTGAATTCTTGCCGTTGTAAGAAGAAAAGTTGTGAATCTTAGAATAAAAACTTATGAATGACAAATAATATTTACAACACTTGAGAGATATAGAATTTCAAATACAAACTTATGAATTGCTGTTGAATTCTTGCGATTTTAAGAAAAAAAATTGTGAATCTTGGACAAATCTTGTGAATTACAATTGATATTTGAGTTAAGGATAATTTGATCATTTACATTAATTCCTTAATGACAAAAATTTTTTTTAGGAAGTTCAAGAGAATTATAGCATTTTGGGGGACTAAAATGTCTTTTACATAATTCAAAAAGATTTTATTGTCATTTCCCTATATTAACAGGAGTGCTATTGTAATATCCTGGAAATCTAAACCCAATTAATTAGGATTAATGAGGGTAATTAGTAAATTGATGACAAACAAGCATATTTGATCGTGACTTCAATACTAAATGTGGGTCCAGTAAGGTCGGGCCATCCAGGTAAGAGAAGAAGAGGAAAATTTGAATAAAAGTCCTATGTCACATGTCGTAGCGCATAGAGGCAATCGGTGTAAACTGGACCTTTCTGTGCCATGCACTGCGGCGGAAGGCTATGTGTGCTCGGCACACGACTAAAATTCTACTTAGACTAGTTTGTGTCTGAGTGTGAAATCAAAAGAAGAGAGTTAGAAAATGAAGAACACAAAATTGGTTTTGCTAGCGCACAACATTGGAGCTCATTGAAGATATTTAGAAGCTTCCCAATACCCAAGATAAAAAGTTTATGCCTTTCTCTTCCCTTCTCTGCCATATTTATGAGGAGCAAGGTTAGGGTTTAAGTTGGAGAGTGATTTTTGATCCATATGAGTTATGGGCCCAAACCTGTTGAGTAAAATGGATATAATGGAAGTGATTTAAAGTATTTAAACCCTATATTAATGGTTTTGTGAGTGGTTAGTTGGGAGGAGCTGTTAATATTCAAATTTAGTAATAAATGAAGATGTTGGGAGCATTTGTGGATCATTAATGGTGGTTTAATGACTTATTAATGATAATATAGGTCAAAGGAAATTAATGGCGAGTAAATTCATGGTTTTGGTTAAAAAAATGGAGAATGTGGAATAATAGTATTGAAAATTACCAAAGACGAGATAATAATGTTATCTTGTGAAATAATTGTAGACCATTGATTTGGCACCTTTTGAGCTTGGAAAGAAGCTTCGAAAGTTGGTATTGAGAGGAGTAAATCTTTGATCTCTCAAAAGTTTGAAGTAATTAAAGGAAAATCTAATGTGTATAGTTATATATTAATTAGACAATTGCTGAAATTGATGATTTGAAACTTGTTTAATGTGTAGAAAGTTATTGATGTAATTTTGGCAATGTGATAAATGTGTGTGAAATGGTTTGAGAAAATCAAGAACCTTACATGTGATGCATATATGTGTTTAATGATGATGATGGATAATATATCATTGTGAAAATATAGAAAACATGATATTGTGAAAATGTGTTATATGTAATTTAGAAGATGTAGAGTTTGTTGGGAGTGAGAAATTGATGTGAATATGACATAAGGTTGTGAAGTTGGTTATAAATGCATAATATGTAATATGTGCATAGCATGATTATTGGCGAGAGTTCGCCTAGGGAGAGGAGTAGATTAGTAAATCCACATGGTATTAGCGGCTCACTCATCAGATCAAGATTGGGGAAATGTGTTAAGGTGTAGGATTATAGTGTAAATCCTACTGCATGCCTCCTTATGTTAATTTATGTGTATTCAATATTATTAATTTCCCAACTAGGATTCATTTCATTATTTTGAGCTACATGCATTATTATTGTGAAATCTTTGTGTATTTTGTACCCTGGATTAGTAAGTTTTGGCTGTAAACCTTGTATAGGGCCAAAATAGTTGTGTAAGTTGTGCAATGTGTATTTTAAAATGTTTTGAAATGGATATTAATGAGTTGTGCGAAGATTATCCTTCCCTTTGTGTTTTATGAAATTAGGGGTTGAGTAGTAAATTTGTGTTATATGTGCATTCATATGGTTATGGTGTGTTGCATGAGTTCGATAGGGTTCATTGAGTATGGTCAAATGATTAGTGTAAGCTTTTAGCACTTGTATGTGAGTTTGGACACCCTTGTTAAGAGTTTTTGTGAAAAAAAAGAGTGAAATGGGTTTAGCTATCCAACTCTTTATAGAATATGAATTTGAGTATTAAACTTATGTCATTAGCTGGAGATAGAAGAAAACTCTCTGTAGACATCAAAATCACCTCAATCAAACGTAAGATGAAAATTTAGGATGAGTCAAAAGTTTTCTCCTTATGTAGTCCATTTGATAGAAAAATACAATAAAAATTGTACAATGTGCTGCGGCGCATGACGCCTTATGTCGCAACATGGCACAAAGGCTTGAAAGTCATGGCACATCTATAGTGAGTCACAATACACATGCCATTTTCTGCATAATTTACAGTTTTGAGTTTTAAATCAAATGATTTGATTCATATTTGAATCCCAAGCTTCCGCTAAGGTTTTAAAACTTTTATTTTAGGCATAATGCATGTGAATGGGAGTATTTTAAATGTTGACATCTTGGGATGCCATAGGTAAATGATAAACTTAGTTTATCCCATTGCATTTATTTGAAATTGTTTCTTCCATTTGTAAATTGTGAAAACTTGGTTATTCTTATTGGGTTTAAGCCCATGATTACCTTAATTTTGGGATAATTGGTGATTAGAGTAGGGAGATTACAAATGTTGTCATCATTTTCTTAATTAAGGTTTTGTTTCACTAGATTTTCTTAGTAAAGTTTTTAATAAGACAACTTCAAATTGTAATATACTTGATCCTTTTTATTTACTAGGATTTTGTCTTATAAGGTTTTTTCTAATAAAATTTTAATCAGTCATAGTATTTGTTATGGATAGTTTAAAAGGAGTGTTATGTATATGTCTATAACTTCTCCCTACTCTTAAATTTTGCAATGCCATACTCCATAACCTCTTTGATAAAAGGCTTTTAGCAATTTTCCTTAATTATGGTTGATATCCAAAAACTCAATGGTTGCATACCACACACTCAAAGCTAAAATAGAGTATATTTATATTGATTAATGTTGTTATTTATTCCAATGAAACTTTTAAATATAATTGAAAGCCTAGAAGCTATTTACCATGTATTTTACACACCAAATGAATGAGAATCACTTCTCATTTACTCTTCATTTCTTTCTTGTATTCTTTATCTCCATTATTGAAATCTTGTTTGTCTTCTTATTTTCTTATATTTTGTTTTTTTCATAACAATAAATAAATATATGTATGTACACAAAAAAATTTGCCTCCCTAAATTTTCATGCTTGGTCCACAAGGATAATAAAATATCATGAGTTTGCCTGTGTAATATCCCAAAAATTTTAAGACTCATATTTATTTTAAAAAAATAACATAAAATATCTATAATTAAATTAAAGTTTAGAATAATTTGATAGAGGTCTAGAGTTTGAATTTTTCTCAGCAAAAGTTTGGTTTTATTTGATTTTTAACTATGGAAAAAATTACCAAAGTTGACTCGGGTTTTTGTGTTATAATAAAAAATATTGGGCCTTTTCTTGTAATTTCCCTAAAGTTTTATATCAGCTTTCTTAAGGAGAAAACAGATGCAGAAACTGAATTGGAAAGGAAAAGAAAGGAAACATACGAGACAGAGAGAGAGAGAGGAAGAAGAGAAGAGAAAGAGAAGGAGTTAAGCTTGAATCTAGGAGGCTTTGCAACCATTGTGAGCTCGGCTATATAATAGGTAAACTCCCTATTTCAATCCTCTTTCTTTTCTCTTGATTTTTGCAATTTTTGGAAGAGGGAATTTCTAGATTTTGATCCCAAAGACTTTATTCTTGTAAGCTTTTGTTTCTTTGGATCCTAGGGAGGATGTTTTAAGTTTCTTTATGGTGTTTCAATGTTTTGAGTGGATAATTGGATGAAAAGAGGTGTTTTGGGCGCAAATCAAACCCCAAGAGGTTGGGTTTTGCTCTTCAATGATTTAAGTCTATTGATTTAGTTATAATTTTAACTCCGCCTATGTTTATAACCAATCCCAAGCCCGGGTAAAGGAGGTGGGTTGTGTTAGGCCATCAACAGTCAATGTAAAACTTTGTTGAATCTATCATGAACATGGACAATAGACGTTATGATGTTAATGCTAGGTCGTTGCCCGTAAGTAACGCGCTGCATGGCTCGAGTACAGTGATAAGTGAGTTAGAGCTGCTGCATCGGCGCCCAGATGTAGTGTTAAATGAGCAAGGGCTACCGCGTTATTCTGGACGCATGCGGCTAAAGAAGTTAGTCCATGATAATAAAATTAGATTTGGTACTTGGAATGTTGGGACATTGAATTGTAAATCTGTAGAGGTTGTAGGGGTTATGATTCAAAGGAAAATCAATATCTTTTGCCTGCAAGAAACAAAATGGTGTAGAGAAAAGTTAAGGATATTCAAGGTTTCAAACTTTGGTATACAGGAAAAGTAAGTGCACGCAATGGAGTAGGCATCATTATAGATAAGGAGTGGAAGAAGAACGTTGTAGAAGTTAGCAGAATTGGAGACAGAATTCTTTCCTTAAAAATGATAATTGGACGTGAGACTGTTAATATTGTTAGCGTTTATGCACCGCAAGTCGGGACAGAAGCCAGTCTTAAGGAATTATTTTAGGAGGATCTGGAGGGGTTGATTCGACACATACCACAGAGTGAAAAGATTTTTATTGGAGGAGACTTTAATGGGCATGTCGGGAGGGAAGCTGATCAGTATGTGAGGGTGCATGGTGGTTTTGATTTTGGAGAGCTAAACAATGAAGGACAAACTCTTCTTGATTTCTCATTGGCGTATGATTTTAAGATTGCCAACACTTGTTTCAAGAAGAGAGATGAGCATCTCATCACTTACAAAAGTGGAGCCTCAAGGTCACAGATTGATTTTCTTTTGGTTAGGAACACAGATAGAAGACTTTGTAAAAATTGCAAGGTGATTCTCGAAGATGCTGTAACGACACAATATCGGGTCCTAGTCCTTGATGTGTGTATTATGAGTAAAATTCAAAAACGTCAACAAGTAGTAGCACCATGGATTAGGTGGTGGCAATTAAAAGGTGAGAAGCAAGATATTTTCAAGCAAAATCTTTTAGATAAAGGAATTTGGGAATCTCAAAGAAGTGCTAACATCATGTGGGAGGATATGGCTAAAAAGATACGGAAGGTTGCAAAAGTAGTTTTGGGAGAATCAAAAGGTTTTGGTCTGAGAGATAAGGAGTCTTGGTGGTGGAATAATAGTGTACAGGATAAAATCAAGTATAAGAAGAACTGTTTTAAAGCCATACATTTGTGTAACAATGAGGAAAATTAGGAGAGGTACTGTATGGCTAAGAAGGAAACTAAGAGAGCTGTGGGTGAAGCTCGTTCTAAAGCTTTTGAAGAATTTTATAAGAGCCTTGAGACGAAGGAAGGAGAGCAAAATATTTATAAGATTGCCAAGAGTAGGGAAAGAAAATCAAGAGATCTAGAACAGGTAAGGTGTATTAAGGATGAAGAGGGAAGAACTTTAGTTACAGATGATGAAATTAAAAATAGATGGGAGACTTACTTTTCTAAACTTTTCAATGATGGAGAGGGTTCATCTAGTAACTTGGAGGATTTAGTAACTGGTGAAGGAGAACAAAATTTGTCATTCTATCGAATAATACGTGATAAGGAGGTAAAGGAAGCTCTTAAGAAAATGGCAAATGATAGAGCCAACGGACCTGATTGTATATCTATCGAAGCGTGGAAATGTTTAGGTGAAGAAGGGGTGAGATGGTTAACCAAGTTATTTAATGTGATTTTACGATCCAAGAAAATGCTTGATGAGTGGAGGAGAAGTACATTAATTCATATTTATAAAAATAAAGGAGATATTCAGAATTGTACTAACTATAGAGGGATTAAACTCATAAGGCACACAATAAAATTGTGGGAGAAAGTAATTGAGCACAAATTGAGATTGGAGACAAGTATTTTTGAGAATCAGTTTGGTTTTATGCCAGGTTGATCAACTACAAAGGCGATTTATCTACTAAGGGGATTAATGAAAAAGTATCATTGTAAAGATAAAGATCTACACATGGTTTTTATTGATTTGAAAAAAGCTTATGACCGTATATCAAGAGAAGTACTTTGGAAAGCGTTAGAAAAAAAGGGAGTACGGATTGCTTATATTAAAGCCATACAAGATATGTATGAGGGGGTAAAAACTAGTATAAGAACGCCTAGTGGTCAAACAAAGGATTTTCCTATAAAGATTGGACTACATCAGGGATCATCTCTGAGTCCTTATTTGTTCAACTTGATCTTAAATATTTTGATGGAACATATTCAAGGGGAAATTCTGAAATGTATGCTCTTCGCGGATGATATAGTTCTTATAGCAGAAACAAGAGAAGAGGTTAATTGCAGACTTGAGTTATGGAGGAGGACATTGGAGTTGAAAGGTTTTCGTCTGAGTAGAAGTAAGACGGAATATTTATATTGTAAATTTGGTAAAGGACTATTCGACAATAATTTGGAAGTAAAATTAGGAGATCAAATTATACCTCAAGTGGAAAAGTTTAGATATTTGGGAGCCATTATTTAAAATAATGGCGAAATCAGTGGAGATATTTCATATAGAATTCAAGCTGGGTGGTTTAATTGGAGAAAAGCTAAAGGAGTTATTTGCGATCGTAAGGTGCCTAATAAACTTAAAGGAAAGTTTTATCGCACTGCTATCAGACCGGCAATGTTATATAGTAGTGAATGTTGGGCTCTAATGGGACAGCAAGAGCATAAAGTTGGAGTAGCAGAGATGAGAATGTTACGATGGATGTGCGGACATACACGTAAAGATAAAATTCGAAATGAGCACGTATGCTAAAAAGTGAGGGTGGCACCTATTAAGGAAAAAATGGTATAAAATCGGTTGAGATGGTTTGGGCATATACAAAGAAGACCAAGAGAGGCACCAGTGAGACGAGTGGAACATATAACTTTGAGTCTGATTAAAAGAGGTAGAGGAAGGTCTAAGAGAACACTCTTGGAAGTTATTGAATGCGATCTTTTAATTAATAATATTCCTAAAAGCTTGATAAATGATAGAGCACAATGGCGTCTTGCAATCCATGTAGCCGACCCCACCTAGTGGGATAAAGGCTTGTTGTTGTTGTTGTTGTTGTTGATTTAGTTATAATTTTACCATTTGAGCCCAATAAGATTTAAATTAAGGGTTAGTTTTCATTATAAGGGCTAATGGTGAAAGTTGGTGACACTAAGTGAAGGTTTTTAATTAATTAAAAATTATATAAACTGGAAATTAGCCTAGCGATGGCTAATAAATGGTTTTGGTGGTTAAGTGATACTATGTGAATGGTTGGTTTAATATATGGACCATTAGGATGGATTATGATTCATTGACCCAAGTTGTGTGGTATGACTTATAGTCTTTATTAATGCTATTTGTCATTATAAGTGATATAGATCACTTATATGTTGTAGAGATTGTTAGTAAAATTTGTTCGAAAGTTAAGAAACAAGTCGAGTCCTATTTTATACAAGAGGAACCCTTTTGGTACCAAATAGTTGAGGTAACAGGAGAATTTATATTTCTTATTACTTTGTTTTAGCTATTTTTAAATAAATATTATTAGCTATCATGCATTACATGTTTTAAAAGATTAAATGTGCTTTATAAGGGGTTACGGTGTACTACTTTGATTATAGTACAAATATGTTTTCTAATTGTTTAACAACAATGTTTTTATGGAAATGAGATTTGTTTATATGTATTTTAATCATAAGGAATAGAAGTTGCACTTAAGGAAGTGTAACTAAGTAAGGTACCTTAGATAGGCTAAGGAACCATTTAAGGGAGATTTATAAATGTTATACTACCTTAGAGTGTTGAAGTGGTCAATACTCAGGAAAGGTAGACACGAATAAAAAGCCTCAGTGGGAGTTCACCAATGAGAAGGTGTGGACTTTTGATATTCTATGGTACACTACCAGTACTCAGTATTGCCTTACATATTGTGGGTTCAATGTACTAAAGTGGTTAGTGTATTGAGTGTTCGACACCTCTTAGTGGGGGAGGGAATCCAACATATAAAGTGTGAGGTTAAGTGCCTAGGCTAAGGTAGCCCTCATATAGAGAGTAAGTCGAGCTAGCTCTGGGAGGGAGTTAGCTTCGACTGCTTAGGATTCACGTCGAAGGGGCATAGGCAGTTCGGTGGATTAGATCATGCCTTAGATTATGTTTTGTTCTTGTGGAGCTACAAGTAGGTATAAGGTTTACCTGCGAGTTAAAGAGTACTAAGGGGCCTTCTGTTGGTCATGAAAGGCCATACTGGCCTACGTCATGCATTTATGCATTTTAAATGGCTAAATTATATACTATGTTGAATTTATTATTCATTTATTTGATTATGGCTTACTTTGTAATAATCAATTTAGATTTCTCCGTTACTGAGACTGTGGTTGTCTCACCCCTTTCTTTTCAATATTCTAGGTTCAGGCGAAGGAACCAGTGGAGGACGGGGAAAGGAGCAGAGCTAGGGGTTGTTTGTGAATTATAAAGAACTGTAACCCCTTTCTTTTGAGCAAATCTATTGTAATGTATTTAGGATTATGGTGCCAGTAGGATATGATTATGTATATGTCTGTGAGTATGTGTGAATTGTATGGCTTGTATATGAATTTTTTTTTTGCTTGTAGACTTGTGGCTAGGAAACTTAGCTATAGTGTGTGGCTTTGATGGATTTATTTAGTAGACCAAGTTTTCACTACAAGAAAATATTTATTTTGGTATATATATGATTTCACAAGCAAATGTAAAGTGGTCGCATTGCAAATGGTGTGTTATGGGCAAACATATACCTTGAATAGAGAGAGTGGGTGCGTAGGCCTCGCAGAGATCTCTGAGTCAAGTGAAAATGTTTAGCGTGTGTATTCATATGTGTATATGATATTTGGAATAGTTTTTGGCCACTCTTGTGTGATTTGTGCATTTTGGAGGTTTAGGGTCCATTTTGAGAAATGGCACCTGGGTGGTCAAATTTTGGTATAAAGGAGTTTTCTATCATTTAAATGTTATATCTGGTATTTTTAGTCCTACTTGACGTGTCCAAAGTGTTTCCACAAGTTCGTGACCATTAGGATGAGATTTGGATAATTTTGAAAATAGTTTTTATCAAAAACCTATACTTTTGTATCCAGGTGTCCAAATCTTAATCCATCAGTTGGATGTTTCCAAAATTTGGTATGCTAATAGTACTATTTAAAAGTGACATGTGGCCTTTGGAATCGCTCCGATCAGAAGTCAGATGATGAAATGGTGCACCCCAAAAATTAGTCTAGAGGTGCTGTCATGACAACAAAAATAGCTAATCTTTTAACATGTCTAATTTTTAATCCGACCATTGGATCATTTTAAAATTTGGTACACTTATAGTACCCTTTGAATTTGACGTGTGAGCTTTAAAATCACTTTGATTGGTGGTTGAATGACGAAACGACACCTCCCGAAAGTTGGCCCAGGAGGGCTGTCATGACAACAATTTAATGCTGTCATGACAGCATCTTTTTATTCCACTTTCATCTAGCTTGCTTCCGTGCACTATAGGTAGAACCTATAAATTTTTTTAATTTTTTAAATGATTTATGTCTTAAGTTGGTTAGAAGATCAACTCCTTAACCACACTTAGTTTATTTGAATTATGTGATTTTTGGATAACACTCGAGGCAAGTGTTACAGCCTGAATCAGTTTTATATATAAGTTTAGGGTTGATTTGCTCATTTTAAATTAAATAATAAAATAGCTTTGATAATGAGTTATAAATAGATACCTATGGATAGAGTTGGTGTATGATTAGTTGAGGAAACAGAGTTGTTATTACACTCCAGGAGAGTTGTCTGACTAGTGAGGGTCAGAAGATTTCCTCCCTCATGTCATATCTATTTTCCTCTACTAACTCTCATTAAATTTAGAATTTGCCCAATATGGTGATTAATTATATCCCATAGACCCACGCAGAACTTAATGAGTGCTTGTCTTGACTACTCAACTACTCAAATCTTCTCTCCAACGGAGAACACACAATTTTCAGAAAGAAAAAAATGACAGTGATGACAAGAACTTATATAAGTCTTTCATTTTATGTTTTGATAAGAACCTAAAAATGTTATTACATATTTTGCCTGACACAACTATATGAAATTTAAGCCATTACTATTAAAATGCCAATAGGGGTCATTTCTGTGGAAAGAGGATATGATTTTGGATTCAATAAGAGAGATTTAAAGGAGTTCCTAAATCTAAATTAAGGAAGCTGGTCATATTATGAGCTAAATTGAGAATCTTGTAATTTTTTTATCTATTTTTTTCATTTTATTTTCGTATTACTAACATTTTGATCTCATTTCAATGATAATAGGTAGCTTTGCAATATTTGTTGTGTAATGAAAAAAGAAAATACATTTAGATTTTTATTGTAACATCTTAAGTTTTCTCATTAGTAATTATTAGTGTTTTTAAGAGTAATTTGGTCAATTTAGATAAATTGTTATTTAGTGAGGTTTATTGAGACTAATATGGTTTTTGGATCCTTGGACGGTCTTAGAAGAGGGCTAAGTTAAGGTTCAAGCAAGCCATGGCACAGAATGGAGTTTAAAATTTTATGAGGCTTTCTATGCCATACACCGTGGCAGGCGTGATGAAGTGGCACGGTGCACACACAAAATCATTGCTTATCAGATCATGGGAACAGACCGAAAACAGAAAAGAGAAGAAGGAAAAATGAGAGAGCGATGGAGGAAAGCCTATGGTCTATCAGGGCACGATCCCTGGGCTACTTTGAGGAAATTTAGAGCTTGAATCATCATTGGATAAGTTGTACATTCTCTCTTCCCCTCTTTTGTTCGAAAACCTGAACATTTGGGATAATGGGGGCTTTAATTTTAGTTCTTTTGGGTTTAGACCAAACCCATTAGTTTATTTAAGATCTTGGAGAGTTAAATCAAGCTTTTACCCTTAAGTTTATGAGTTTTGTGGTAATTGAGAATTTTTGATAAGGGTTTGGACGAACCTTAAGTATAATTTGAGGATTTTGAGACAATGTGGGATATTGATTAGCGAATTTGGTGTGTTAGAATGTTTAATAAGATGGTTAGAGTGTGTGAGAATGGTTAGCATTGTTAGAAAAGGAAGTTGAGTATTTTAGACACTTAGAACCTAGAGAATTCAGGGTTACCCAGAGTGATAATTGACGATTGTCACTTATTGGTGTAGATTGAGCATTTCTCAGGCCATGTCATGGGTATAAAACATGTGGAGTTAACATTGAGTCACGGTAACCTTTTTTGTGTGACAAAGGATTGAGGTAACCATATAGTTTATTATGTTTATTAACTATTATAATTGTGTAAAAGTAATTACCAATGATAAAGTTGTGGTTCAAAATGTTTTGTGTATAATTTGACATTGCAAATGATTTTAGCATGAAAAAGTAATTTGTCAATGGTTGTTGATTTTAATTGAAATGTATATATATATATGTAATAAGTTTGTGATGTGAAAATGTGATGAAAAGTAGTGAAAATTATGAAAGAGTATGATCTTAGGGGGTAGGAATTCACCTGAGATATGTGAGGATATGTGTGTGTGTAGAGATATATGAGTGAAAAATTCATATGGTTGGACTGATATCATGGGACATCCAGTGCAGCATTATATAGGACTGTTACCATGGGACATCTTGGCAGTATAGCAACTCCCTAGTACCTATTAGAGTGTGGTTAGGAGTCAACAACGCTTCTATTACAAGTATGTGAAGAGGGAAAAATCATAGTCTGTAGGTGAGTTAGATTTCTTTTGGCCGGGTATTTCTATCACTGAAAGTGTGCTCGGGTTAACAAGTAGTTGATCCAAGAGAGCTTATGGTTTCATGTCGGGGAGCATTGGAGGTTCGGTGGTTAGAAGGTCATGCTAGTGTGAAATTATATGTTTTATGGTGAAAAGATACACTCATCTCTTAATTATGGTATACTTGTTATTACTTTAGTTTTGATACTTTTTCATGGTTATTTGTGGTAATAAATATTTGATGAGCTATATTTGTTACTAAAATGTTTGTCTTACCCCATGGTTATATTTTACAGGTAAGGGCTCCAATAGGGACAAGGGGAAGGAAGGAGCATTTAAAGAGTGAAGAGCATCATTGTATAGCTCTTCCCTTTTTCCTTTTTGGTTTTGTAACAAATATTGTCACTATATATTGTCAACTTAGGAACATGACATTATTTGGATATTACTTGTGTAAATCTTGTGATAAATATGTATATCTTGGTCTAAGTTTGATATATTGGATTAAGTGTGTGCTTGGCCAAGTTATATTTACAAGTGATATATATTTCAAGTGTTTTGAGTGTCAAAATGATCAATTGATTGATGTGTTGAATTTTGTCCACCTTATTGTGTTACTCTCCAATGACGGTTTGGTGGTCATTTTGAGCGTGATTGCTTAATTGTGTGCTATGAATGGATTGTTATGTGGTATGTGGTTGCATTTGAGGTGATCAAGGTGTCTTTGGGGCTAATGGCATTGTGTATTGTGAGTTGGACACCATAGTATGTGTTTGTTGTAAAAACAAACCATTTTGGGTTTAGGTGTTCGTCTTTTAAACAGATAATTGTTTGAGTGTGAGATGGTGCCATTAGCTAGAGGACTCAAAGAGTTTCGTGTGGACACTTAAACCGCTCAAATCGAATGTTGAATGGCGAAATGGTGAGCTCTAAAAGTTCGGAGAAAAGTCATGACAATAATCTACTATCATGATAGCAGGTGTGCACCACAGCGCATGATTGTCATACTGCAGCGCAAGAGGCCCTCGAGGGATTCGTCCCTCTATGCCATCCGCCGTGACTAATGGACTAAATTAGGGCTAGAAGGCTTACTTTAGTCTATTTCAAAGTGATTTGATTTATATGCTTTTATATTTGCTTTTAACTGATTTTTAACTATGGTTTGAGCTCAAACGATATTTTAAAAAGGATTTTCTTAGGATCCCAAGTTTTTAACTAATTATTTTAAACCCTTGAGTTATGGTAGCTTTGGTAAGGGGTTTTATTAAATCCTAGTTATCATAACGATGTGTGAGTATTGTTCTGGTAATGTCAAGGCAGACATTACATTTATGACTGGAAAGCTCACAACATAGTATATTGCAAAATGACATATGTGATGAATCATATGTTGGATATGAAATTGTCATGTTATTTAGCATCAATTATTGATAGCCAAGTATTTTTTATTCATGAATGTGTATGTGTATATGTGTACATATATATTTGTATTATGTAATACCCATTTAAATTTTCATATATTGCTACTATCATTGGTCACTTTGTGTTCTTTGCCTGAATTAAAGTGTCATATTGTAATTTTGTTCTTTAGGTGGAACATCAAGTGAGGAATTAACATGAATTTTCAATAAGTAAGTTTTTATCTATATAGAATTTTACTTCTAGGGATATTTTTACTTTTGTAATGTTTTTTTATTCATAAATGAATAGTACACTTAAGATTTACTATATGTTTACGTTTGGAGAACAAAGCAAAAATCACTAGTGGAATGGATTTGCTTGAATGTAAGTATGAACCTTTAACTTTCATATTTAATTATTCCTCTCATGTTTTGGTTTAATTTTAAATTTTCATTTATTTCAATGTCATAGATAGCCACGAAGCACAAAATTTGGATATTATGATATCTATTACATGTATAAGGTAATTCAAGTTGAAAGTATTGAAAGATTACAAGAGGTATTTAGT